AAACTCTTCCCGCACTGATCACATGAGTACGGCTTCTCTCCAGTGTGGATTCTCATGTGATCCTTAAGGTTGGCTTTTATCGGAAAACTCTTCCCGCATTGATCACATGTGTGCAGATTCTTTCCAGTGTGGATTCTCATGTGTACTTTCAGGCTTCCTTTTACTATGTAACTCTTCCCACATTGATGGCAGATGAAAGACTTTTTGGCTTTTCTTTTCAATAAATTACTTTTAGTCTGTGAGCGACTCAAAGATTTCTTACTAGTTATGACATGATGCTGTTTCCCCTCTGCCTCACTCAGTTCTTCACTCTCCTCACTCTCTTCCATCAGGTCTAAAATGAAAGCAAGAAAGGGTTATGTAGTGAATTAGCTCAACTTCAATCTTTTAATTAACCTGTTCATTAATGTGAACACTTAAAAGTCTGTGTAAAGTCAATTCTGAGAATTGTTTCAAAACACATTATAAATGTTAGAAGGGCATTGCTAAAACATATTGCAAAGACTATGTAGTACTATGATCTATGTAGTACTTAATTGTGAAGTTAGACCGTTAAAACAGTTTTTCACCATTTTTCGTGTTCAGGATTCTTTAGGCAGGGCTAAAATCATGACTTGATGACGAAATGGAGTCACTGAGCATGGCCTCTCCACTAGACTGATCGGTGTGTGACATCGAAGTACAGAGAGAGCTTTAGAGAGCAGACGGCTTCTTTCAAATCTTCAATAAAACTTTGATGTGCATCATCTCAGTTTATTACATCAACATAACAAAAGATGTGATTGCAAAACAAGCAACAAAAAGGCATTACATGCAAATTTACATCATAATGTAAATATATGTAGTAGCCAGCAGTGATCTCAGCAAAAATATTACTTGCAAATTAATTTTACGCAGATTACGTATTAGTCAATCAATTTTCCTAAAACCACTAGAACAATGTTATATATTTAGTTGACTTGTGTACTTGCATTATATCCCAAATGTTTCCATGAATGTTTAAATCCAGAGAAATAAGCAATTGTAACTAGTGCCCCATCCTTTGTCACTGCATCACCTTCAAAGACGCCATTCTCATGTTGCCCTCGATTTCCGGTTTTACTTTGTAGAAACCATGGAAACACCAAAGACGCTTTCATATACTATGCATTTTATTAGACAGGTGAGCAACTGTCTGATTACAAAACTAACCATTGTTATATAGCTCAACACTGTTAGTCTTAGAAGTGTTGACGTCACACAGACAGGCCCCTCCCACGATTGTTTGATTGACAGTAGCGTTTCAGCACAGACTGGACTGGTGTCTTACCTTAGACCCTCCCTGAGTGAGCTGTCATCAGTCCGCCATTGTTTCACCACCGGAGAAGATGTACACAAGAATGTCTCCTAAGTGATTGAGGTGTTTTGTTGTTGAATGTAATAATGAACTGAACATAGCAGTAGTCATTTACTCCCGACATCTGAGCTGCTGAAGACGCTGTGAATTACGTTTGTTTTTGAAGGGAATGCGCCCCCAATCTACCTAAATGAGTTTATGTTCGTGCGAATCATTCGTGATTCAGCTTCACCTCCAGAAAAAGTGAGTATACGGTTTTTTAATGAATCTTTGCAAATCGCCTTTCCTAATAATGTGCTAATTAGCAAGTTTCACTATGAATGCGGCTAAAGTAAACAGTCCCTCAGAGAGCGGCTCGGAAGAGAGGGGCGGGGTCAGCAGAGCTCATTTGCATTTAAAGGAAAATGCTACAAAACGGCTTGCTCTGAAAAGAGCTGTTTTTGACAGGGTAAAAAAGGTGTTTTTTACACTACCATTGAGAAATTTTAACCAAACTATGTTACAGACTTTTCATTAAGACCCTAAAGAATCATATTGTGGAAAATGGGCATCCGATGACCCCTTTAAAGTGCCCCTGCATTTAGATCCTCACCTCAGCCTTCTTTCTCCAATCCTTCTTACAGAACGACTGACCCACAATGGATCTAGCAGGGGGGTAATTGGCTCTGTCTGAGCACTCCGTTCAATTTTTCAAGATGACCACCCTATTGAAAAATATGTATAAGATACAAAAAAAATTTATATATATTTTTTTTGCATATTCTCATATCTCGCAATTGGCAGACGTCATTTTACTGGACTGTATTTGGGGCGGACAGGACAATGACACTGATGCCAGGGGGTGATACCAGGTGGACCATGGCTCAATATGTGGACCTGGCCCTACAGCTGTGTAGATCTCCTGTCACAGTAGGACAGGTAGAGGAGGAACCACCCCTAAACTTTCCCCCAGAGCTTGGTCCACGGACTCCAGCCATCATGGCTACCACTGGATCCGTCTCAACGTGGACAAGACTAGTATCCAGTGTGGAGGATCCTCAGCCTATGCTCTCAAGCCCGCAAGCCTCAGTGTTCTCAAGATTGCTGACCACAGCACTCACAAAGGGATGTAGATAATGATTTGTTTGTAGATTAATATTTTAGCCTCCTATGTGTTGTGAAATGCACTTTTGTTTTTGTGTTTCAGTTCTAAGCAAAGTTGGTGTATTGATGACATCTGAGGATTACAGAATACCTAAAGAGGACAATAATTCAATTTACTCAGTTTATTAAAAAGACATTTTCAAAAACCGAAGTGATTTCCTTGTTTTATTTATTAGTTAGAATGGATATAACTCAACATTTTAACAAACTCTAAAAGCTGAATAATCAATAAAAGTGACTGATCAATCTGTGAAATATTCAAAGGTTAGTTGATTAATCATTCTAATAATCTCTGATTAATCAATATTAACCATCACACCTGGAAGTACAGGATCAGTACTTGAACTACTTACTGTAATTTCAGACATGCACACATGTAATTTATGACAGATTAGAGAAGATAATTGAGTGAATCTCTTCCCACATGAATGACAGTGATACGGCTTCTCTCCAGTGTGGATCTTCTCATGTATTTGTAGATGTGTTGAACGTTTGAATTTCTTGTCACAGTGTGAACACTTGTAAGGTGTTTCTGTAGTGTGAACTGTCTGGTGCTGTTTCACTTCACTATCAGTAAAAAAAGCCTTCCCACACTCAGAGCAAATATGATCCTTCACATTGCTGTGTCTTTTCTGGTGACAATTTAAAGCAGCCAGCTCACTAAAACTCTTTCCACACAAAGAACACAAATGAGGGTTTTCCTTTATATGAACTTTCAGGTGCTTCTTCAGGGCACCTGTCGTAAAAAAATGTTTACCACACTGGTCACAATCATATTGTCTTTTTCTAGAATGAGTACGGAGATGAACTTTAAAAACACTTGATTTTGTGAAACTCTTCCCACACTGATCACATGTCTGCAGCTTTTCACCAGTGTGGATTTTCATGTGTTTGTTAAGGTTTCCTTTTTGTGCAAAACTCTTCCCACACTGATCACATGTATACGGCTTCTTTCCATTGTGGATCCTCTCATGTATTTTCATATATTTTGACCGTTTGAATCTCTTGTCACAGAGTGAACACTTGTAAGGTGTTTCTGTAGTGTGGATCCTCATGTGATCATTAAGGGTTTCTTTTAATGTGAAACTCTTCCCACACTGATCACAAGTGTGTGGCTTCTCCCCAGTGTGGCTTTTCATGTGTTTGAAAAGGCTTCCTTTTTGTGTGAAACTCCTGCCACACTGATCACATGTGTGTGGCCTCTCTCCAGTGTGGACTTTCATGTGTTCTTTAAGGTTATCTTTTTTTACGAAACCCTTCCCACACTGATCACATGTATGTAGCTTCTCTCCAGTGTGGATTTTCATATGTTTGTTAAGGTTTCCTTTTTGTCCAAAATTCTTCCCACAGTGATCACATGTGTGTAGCTTCTCTACAGTGTGGATATTCATGTGTTGATTAAGCATTTCTTTTAGTCTAAAACACTTCCCACATTGATCACATGTATACGGCTTCTCTCCAGTGTGGATCCTCTCATGTATTTGCAGATATGTTGACCGTTTGAAGCTCTTGTCACAGTGTGAACACTTGTAAGGTGTTTCTGTTGTGTGAACTGTCTTGTGCACCTTCAGTGCACCATATGTAAAAAAAGTCTTCCTACACTCAGAGCAAGCATGATCCTTCACTCCGCTGTGTCTTTTCTGATGTATCTTTAATGCAACCATCTGACTAAAACTCTTTCCACATAAATAACATATGTAAGGCTTCTCCTTTGTATGAACTTTCAGGTGGTCCTTCAGGAAATTTGCCCTAAACAAATTTCTACTGCTTTGGTCACAGTTTTCTAGTCTTTCTCTAGAATGAGTAAGCAGATGTTTTTTAAAACCACCATATTTTCTGAAACTCTTCCCACACTGATCACATGCATACGGCTTCTCTCCAGTGTGGATCCTCATGTGTTCGTTAAGAGTTTGCTTAAGTCTGAAACTCTTCCCACACTGATCACATGTGTATGGCTTCTCTCCAGTGTGGATCCTCATGTGTACATTAAGGGCTCCTTTTTGTGTGAAACTCTTCCCACACTGATCACAAGTGTACGGCTTCTCTCCAGTGTGGGTTTTTAGGTGTGCATCACGGTATTCTTTTTGTGAGAAACTCTTCCCACACTGATCACATGTGTACGGCTTCTCTCCAGTGTGGATCCTCGTGTGTTTGTTAAGAGTAGCTTTTAGTCTGAAGCTCTTCCCACATTGACCGCATGTGTACGGCTTCTTCCCAGCGTGGATATTCATGTGTTTTTTAAGGATTACCTTTAGTCTGAAGCACTTTCCACACTGACCACATGTGTATGGCTTCTCCCCAGAGTGGATATTCATGTGTTTTGTAAGGTTTCCTTTTATTGTGAAAGTCTTTTCACACTGATCACATGTGTACAACTTCCCTTCAAGATGAAATTGTATGTGAATATCAGGATTTTGCTTGCATGAGGGACTCTTTTCACACGGAGGCCATATTTTGCCTCTTCTTTTCAATGAGGATTTCCAGGATATCTCTTCAGTTTTGACATAATGGTTCTCCCCCTCTTCAATCAGTTCTTCAATCTCCTTGTTCTGTTCTATCAGGTCTAAAATTAAAGTAAAAAACTTTAGTGAAAAAAAGTTTTTAGAAAATCTTAAAAGAAAAAAAATGTGAAAGGAAAAGGAGATGCGAAACTTGAGAAAGCTGTTGAAAGTAAACATTTTGATGCATTACACTTATTTCCAATTATTGTTTTAAAAACATTACAGGCACAGGTTTTGCAGTGAGAACTATTACTAAAAATTTTCACATTTTCAAAATATGGTTGCAAAAATTGTGAACCAGATATAGATAAATGTAAAAATGAAACTGTTCAGATAATATTTTTTCAGACCTTGTGATGTTTGCAATCAGTATGAATGCTTCTCAAACTACCTTTCATATGTTGAAAAAAATAACAAGTAAAAGAAAACTATACTGGTTACTAATGTAACACTGGTTTCTTGACGTAACAGGAATGAGCATTGTGTTAGTTACTAAGGAAGGGAGGAAGAGCAGAGAGAGTTATAACTTGTGCCCTGAAATGGGTTGAAAGCACCTTAGGCACATAGCTTATTCTCAGTCGAAAACTTTACTGTCATTAGGGCCAAACTCGAGGCAGGACACGTCCACTGAAGGAGCCTGCAAGTTGCTCACCCGCTGGACCAAACCCAAAGCCAAGAGGAGGGCAGTCATCAGCAAGAGAGACCGAAGGTTGGTCATTTTGACCAGCTCAGTACCATGGACAAACTCTAGGATGGAACAGACTGAAAGACTGTATATTGGTAAGCCACGCTCTCAAACGTGAATCTCAAGAATGGTCTGTGTTGGGGGCTATTTGAATATAAAATTACGTATCTTTCAGGTCCACCAATAAAACCAATCCCTTGGGAGGATTCGCAAGAAGATTTGCTTCAAGTGTAGTTACCATAAAAGCTCAACTCACAGCAAACTTTGCTAGCAGGGTTTGGACTCGGAGGATGTTGGCATCGTTGTCCAAGACCAAAGTGTAAACCATGCCCCGAAGCGAGGGGGTTTGAGGGTAGTCCAGCCTTGACAGAATTTAACCTCCTCGGTCTTGGAGCATTAAAGCTGCTGGGGCTGCTCAGGGTCCAGCTCTAGCTTAGAGTAGAGCCCCTGGTATTTCGGGAAGGGATAGCACTTAGCTGTGCAGAAGCCTCGTTTAACTTCAGGTTCCGCCTCTGGCTTGGTGCAGGCACTGACAATGGTGTAGGGCATTGCTGAGTCAAGACATTTTGGGGTGACTGGAAGCATCAGAAGAATTGGCTCACTTGGAGAGTAATGACACATCGCGTGTGATGACTTCTAAGCCACCATGAAGTGTTAGGCTGGGGCTGAGCAGATGCTGGCCTGGAGTGCTGCTGAGTAAATGACAGCTTGGGATGACTTGAGACAGCAAAAGAACTAGCCATTAATGAAGGAAATGGTGCTCCACTTGCGATGATTTCTAGCTGTGAAACATTCAGCAAAACCATCCAAAACAGAACCAATAGTCCCGACGGAGAGACAGGGGAGTCGAGGAGGACCAACTTATTGGCGTCCTTGAGCTCTGTTAAATTCAGACAAATGTTTCGATGCCAACAGCCTCATGGGCAGCACACCCGACATTTGGCACGGTAGCGCTTCAGGCATCTGGAGTTTGAATCCCGGCTTACAGACCTTTCCCAATCCCATCCCCCTCTCTTTCTCTATCTCTTACTCACTTCCTGTCAAATCTGTCCTTCTCACTACTCACAAACCCTACTCACTGTCCTATCAAATAAAAT